AGGTTAAATATATAATATCATTGGAAAGTTTCAGTTATCAACAATAAAACTGCATTGTAGAAGTAAGTGTTCCTGGGCAAGGCCCATAAAACAAGGAGATTGAAAACATTAATACGGCATGTGTCATAATTTAGATTAAGGTCAGAAAGTTGCTAATATGCATTTTCATTATAGTCTTCCATTTAATGAAAATTTTGTTACAAAATAAAAAAACTAGACTTCAATCAATATTTATAATTAATGATATTCATTTGCTTGGCATCTATTTTTGCATGTAGCAAGATTCCTGAAAATCTAGTGTAACTTTTTTTTTTCAGTATCTCTTATAGACAAATAAATGGTGATTGCAAGCAGCTACTTACTTACAGTATATTTCTTCTATTCATTGTATTGTGTAAGAAATAAGTTACTTTGATCTCAAATGAACTTCATTAGAACTTCTAAAATTCCCAAGAACAGTGATTTGTGAGCAGCATATAAAAGTGCTGGCACACTGCAAGGAACAAAAACTAATCTGAAATAACCAAGTTTTGGCCATTTTCTGGTGTGCTCTATTTTTAGAAGATTCAAATTCTTCTCATTTGCTACACATCTTTTTTAAATACTTTTCTTCTCAAATATTATGATCCTCTTTCTGTCTTCAAATAAATATTCTTGTTTCTATTCTGTAACTAATTTTTGTTTGTTTGTTTGTTTGCCTCTGGAAACGAAACTGTCAAATGTGATAAGAAGTACAGCCTAAAGTTATAAAATGGTGGCAATAATAGAAATTTCAGACAAAATTTAAAATGCTTTATTTTGACAGTGGCTTGTTCTTTATTTTAAAATTTAATTTCTTCTTGAGGGATATTTTACCAATTCTATTTTCTACACAGATTATTTTTAATGTTATAATCTCATAAACATTCACTCAAGCTGCCTTGTAATTGAATGTGACTTCTGCCATGATTGTGTTTTTCCTTCTAACAGGCAAGTGTACTGCACACTTGATGGCACATTCCATTTCTTATTTCAGACTAAAGAAGCCATCTTAGGAACCCAAAAAAGGAGAAGCACTCCATATTGGCTGCCAAGTGTAAGGTAGAGGAATTAAGGGAATAAGTTAATCTAGACCCCATAAGCATAAATGTAACTCAATCATTGCACATACATCAAAGGCCTTTTGAGAACAGTCTGGTTTACATCCACCCTCGCAATCAGCTTACACTCACTTCTACATAGTTGCGCTTCGGAGCATCTCTGCAAGTTAAGTGATATATTACATAATGACTTCCTTTTATTTATTTTTAAAAATTTTCAGTTATGTATGAATGTGTGTTGTTCTGTGCACATGAATGTAGGTATGGTGGGAGTTTTCTGCATACAGGTGAGATGATTGTGAGCTACCCGATCTCAGCACCAGGAACTAACCTCTGGTCCTCTGCAAGAAGCAAATATTCCACCACTGAGCTGTCATCTCCCGACCCTCTGAAATGACTTCGTTTTTTTTTATAAAAGAAAGAACTGTATATCTTATACATTCAGTGGATTTTAAATATCATTAAAAATGTTTGTCAACTTCTGTTTTCCTTCATTTCAAAAAATCTTAAGGGTTCTTATTAGGAACATATAATTTAATAGAAAAACATTAAAAACAAGCAAAACTAAACTAGGGAACTTAGTAAAAATAGAAAAGCAGTAACAATTAAATATAATATGGTGAGACTATACAAAAGTGTGGTTGCTGACATATTTCATAATTATTATCAGTGCAGATGCTTATTAGAAAACACATTAAAATCATTTCAAGATAGAAATATATAACATTAAATTAAGAGTATACATTTCCAATATAGCTTTGGTAAATGTGTTACTTCTCTATTAACACTTAATCTACCAGTGCAGGCGCTTATTAGAAAACACATTAAAAATCATTTCAAGATAGTACTATATAACATTAAATTAATACTATACATTTTCAATATAGACTATTAACTATATTAACACTTAACCCTTCATTCTATAAAGAGTCTTACTACTAGGACGTAAGCCAACACAGAAGGCTGCCAGGAAAGAGGAAACTCTGCAGGGAGGCACCCCAACTTGACTGTCATTATACTTCCTTATCCAGTAGTGAACTATAATGAGAAGTGTATTAAGTGGGGGTTTACATTTAACATGCACTAGAATAATAAAGGAATTAATTCTGATACCTATGGCCCAGCATGTGTGAATTTGTAGAATACATAAACTGATAGGTTTCTTCCTTTACATAATAGTTTTGTTTGGTATAAATATCACAGCATAATAAATAACAAGTAAATAATATGATTTAAAGCATATAATTTGTAAAATTTTCATATAATAATAAATACATATAGCTGCAATTTGGTATTTATTAGTTATAAATACCAAATAACTAAAAGAATGATCAGTTTACCCCTCTGGATTCCCACAGGCTTGCCTGCATTCCTTCCCACTTCCCCTACTCTCATCTGTATATTAATCTCAGTGAAACTTTTGTACACATTCTATTAGTTTTTATTGAGCTTTATAAAATTAAGTTTTCAAAAATTCTTTGTATATTCTGGGGACATACAAGAAATGTTGTTCTCTTTCCTACTTTAAAGTATCTTTAGAAGAAAAAAAATTGAAAATCTTTGCGGATTATGATTTAGTCATTCTGTCTAATTTCTAACTAAAGTCACAAATGTCTCCAATATTTGTCTAGAACATTCAGAGAGTCAACTGCTTTCAGAATGCGGATGAGGCCATTGTGAACTCATTTTTATATATGGTCCAAGGTACATATTAGAGCTTATTTGTGTTGTGCATAGCTGGCCAATAGTTTAGGCAGTGTTTGTTGGAAGGCCCATTGTTTTCCCCTACTGAAATTTTTCTGTACCTTTCAAAGAAATCTCTGAAGAAAAAGATTATTTTTAGATGTATATTTGGGGCTATTTCTGAAATAGCTGTTCTCTTTACTGCTGTCTAATTTTTTCCTCATGCCAATGACTTAATCTCTTCAACAGGAGTTGTAAAATAAGACTCAAATTGATGTAATAATCTCAGAGACTCTTTGTATAATGAGTCTTTTGTGTATGGATTTCAGAGTTAGCTCAACTACTACTACATATACTACAATGAAGTCTGTCAAAGCTTTGAGTGGAACAGCAATGAAACTATGGACAAATATAATTGGATTTCACATTGCAACAGTATTGATTGTCTCACTCATCAATAAAACATATTTTACCTAAAATTTCTTTACTTTTGTTTAGTGGAGTTTTGTAATGTCTAAGTGCTACATATTGCTTTGTAGTTGGACCCAGAAATATTTAACCTTTTAAATGATATGGTCTTTAAATTTTTTTCTTTACTAACACTTAGTAGAAAACAATTCCCACAGATTTTCTTTAACTGAAGCACTGACTGCCTTTACTGAGAAACACATTAGCAAAGATATTTGCATACTAGATCTTCTTCAATCATAGTGCAGCAATTCCTCCCCTAGTAAAGACGTTTATTTACTGTCCAGTATAGTAAAGGAAATGTTTACCTTCAGAAAACATTTAGATGGACTTGCTTCTCATTTAGTTTGCTGTTCCTTTTAGCCATGAAACAGATTATATGAAGAGCAGTTGTCTGGCCCTCTTCACATCACACCATGAGAGTTGGGTTGCAGGCTCCTGAGTTTTTTGCCTATTTCCCTTCCTCTTTTTGAGAATTTTTTTGCCTTCATCCCAAATCCCATAAAAGTAAAATAGGCTAGTCTGTTAAATTACAAATATTACAAATTTACAGAGTCTCAGTCTCTTCATAATTGTTCAAGATATATTAAAAAACTTGATATTTCTACAATCTTGTCGTGTTACTATATTCACTCGCCAATTTGAAAAACTTTTGTTGACTCCATCTTATATTTACATAGGCACAAACTGGTCTGTGAATAAAGTCTTCTTTGCAATATGAATGCTTTTTATTTGCAATCCTTGTCCCTTAAAACACTAGATACAGGCTTCAAAAATATGATTATGTAGGATGTAGATATTATGATTTGCTATATTTTCTGTTCCATATTTTTGTACCTGAAACTATTCTTGGACTTTATTCCAGACCAATTTCATTGTAATGATCTACTACTTTATGTCTTACCTTAAATATCTGTTAGGCATGAATAGTGCAGTGATTATTCTTAAGCAGTTAACTCCTGCTCCCCAAGGCACACCTCAGGCAATTATTGGCTAACTTCTTGAGTATGAATATGTGGCTGGAAGCAGAAGGTACTGTCAGCCTCTGTGCTTGCTACCTTTTTTAAAATTTGTACTGACATTTAATTAGCACTTAGAGGCATTATTTTATTAAAATGTTCATTAAGTAGTGACCATGCTACCAGTACTGTTTTATGAACTGAAAATACAGGGATGATAAAATATAAACAAGATTCAGCTTTATGAAATTTACCTTTGAAAGTTTTAGGTTTTTAGGGAATTTAAAACTCTTTGCAAGTGTTGCAAATGTGTTGGCCAGAAGGTATATTTAAATATCACTGTGTCACATAACAGCTTCCTCATTGAGATTTTGTTTCATTGTTTGTTTGCTTTGGTTTATTTGTTTTGCTTTTAAATTTTATTTTATTTACTTTTTTTGGCAGGGGGTTGGAAATTGCAAGGGCAGAGGGTGGTTTCAAAGGGACAGGGAGCTGAATGGGATCCGGATGCATGATGTGACATCCACAAAGAATTGATAAAAAGTTAAAAAAAAATATGGTGGTTGCAAGGGTATTCTGAGGGCATACTTTTTATATTAAAGGTGAAAGAAAAGGGGTGAACCCTTCCACAAAAAGCAAATAAAAGTGAAACAACCCTAAGGGAGTGAAGGGTTCTCACACCACTGTTAAGACTTTAGCTTCCCCTTGGGCAGTTTAGACAAAGGGCATTCTCAGAACAGCCTCAGGCTATTTAGGGTCACCTTCCCAAACTCAATGTTTTAATTGTTTTGAACTTTATCATTTCCACAAGCTATACTTTGTTCCTGGGAATAATTACTTGTTTGGTAAAGATAAGGACAAGGAAGAGTGCAGAAGAGGAAAATTTCCCTCTAGGAACTCTGCATCCAATATTCACAACCTCAGGTACTGTTTGGGTCATCTTCAAAGCCATTGAGACTTTCAGCTTCACCCCCCCTATTTCCCTGATAACACTAAAAAACAAATATTAACTTTTCAATTCCTTAGGCTTTAAATATGCCAAATGACAAATTAGAGCTATCAGGGTCACACTGAGGCACATTAAGAATGGAACCTACTTCTGGTCTGAATGGAGACATGACATTCTGATCAGTTCCAAAGATTAGAGCACTGTATAATATTGTCTGCTCTCCTAAGAGTTAACCTAGTGGACCTGTCAATCACCTGGCCGAGATACACCTTTCAGGAGGGATGATTCATCTAAAGTCATGCTAGGACATGAAAGACTAAGTATCCAGTTAGTGAGATAATGTACTTAATCTTTCAGGAACTCCTTCACATGCAGTCATTGGTAGAGAGAGATTTCATAGAGAGAATTGTGGTGTTTCTGCCTTTCTGAGTTACTCAGAAAAACGTAACTTTTCTTTTACAAAGTGACTCTTCCACAGGCCTATCCTCAGTTTCAGTTCACATGGGTCCTCACAAATCCCTCAATTCTCCAGCAGCCTGTCTTATCTCTGTGCCCCTGACCCTTACTTAAAGTTAGCCATTCTTAAGTTTTAAGGATAGAGGAATAGCTCCCTTTACAAGGTAATCTACTTTTGCATGCTAGGTACTTGGCAGCATTTGTGAGATAAACACTCATCACTTAGATAAATACTAATTAAGTCAATATCAGAATACTGATCATAGGGTGAATTTTCTAGTCACAACCTTCTCTCATCCTTATGGTTAATTTCTTAGTTTGATAGAAGTTATTTACATAAACACAGTAAAATTTCAAAGATTATATACTCTGAGTTATAAAACACACTTCACCACAAAAAGAAGTGAGCAACTCCAAATACTACAGTAACAGACGAACAAACAGATGAGGAATAGCTATTTATTTTATTTCCTTACCCTCTCTCTCTCCTTCCCTCCCTTTCATCTATTTTTCCTTTCTTTCCACTTCTCTCTCTTCCTTCATTTGACAAGGTCTTGTTATGATCCTCAGGATACACTAGTCTCAAACTGCTGGGTTCCAGCCATTTCCTGCTTCAACCTCAGTCTCCTAAGTAGCTGAAGTTGCAGGCATGTATTGGTCCTACCTTACTCCTTAGTTTTATTTTGTGCTGTATATAATCTAAATCTAAAATTCCTACAGAGAGGGTTGTCATCCAATTTTGACTTGCACATAAGCACACTGCAAATGATAGTAAAAATTACACAATTAAACATTATACTTAATTTCACTTATACTTTTGTTCTCTATATATTGTATTCATGAAATCCACTATATAATCTTAATAACCTTTATTTATTCATTTTCCTTTACTTTACAGGGCTCTGAACAAGCTGGTCAATATACAACAGAACCAGTCTGAGAAAACATACTTACCTTTAAAAAAGACAAAATTTCCATCACTGTTTTCATAAACTGCATCAATACTGGGAGGCAAGCCCCGCCAGAAGTAAGTAATTTGCATGGGGTATCCATCCATCACCCTGTTGTTTCTCACTCGCCAAAACCACTGGTCCTGCAAAAGCAAGCAAAAGCAGTGTTCAGCATTTCTGGAGGCCTGTCAGCAGTGTGGAGACAACTGTGTATTGGACAGTTTTAAAGCTGATCTAGGATTCTTATTTTCTTTCATCAACACAACCTGAGGGAGAGCTAATACTTCACAGAAAACTAGCTAGGAAACCCCTCCATCTCTAAACCATAGTGTGTGAATAAATATGCTGTCACAGAACTCTAGGTTTTTCATTTGTCATTATCTTAGGACTTTCTAGACAGAAAATCAGAATGACAGACATGTTGTCTGGTGGTGGAAGGTAGGGATTGATCACAGCTATGTCGTATGCATTTTATAAGCACGGTCGCATTTTTACACACACACAGGATCTCCATGCTCCAGATCCTGAGATTTGAATAGAAGGGTCATATCTCTTTGAATGTCCATGTTATAGCTGCTGTCTGTGTAATGACTGATCATCCAATGTGTCTCATATTGGCAAGTAATGGTAACTCTACATAAGCAAATTTATCTTAGAACAGAAGATTTCACTTAGGCTAATTTTTTCTTCTACTTGATTTTTCGAAGTGCTTTACTTGCCTCAGATTTAAAACTGGTCTCATATCTATTCTTAGTCTAGTGAATAACAGGATTTGGCTTGCCATGGTTGTCTATAAAGTTAATGAGTTATTAATTAGACCTAACATAATGTATTTTCATATAAATCCTTACTACTGGACAGAAAAAGCAAAATGTAACAAAAATCTATGAAAAGTGATACATCTGGTGATACTGAATAATTTCCAATTGAAGATTTTGGGAAAAAAAAAGATTATTCAAAGTCTTTTGACACTAGAAAACACAGGTATAATTTAAAAATTATTTACAATTCAAGAACATTTTACTTTATTTTAAATTTCATTACATTTCAAATAACCATATGTATAATAGAAACTGTTTCACTTGATATCAAATATATTTACTATACAGACAAGTGCATATCACAAGTTTACTTTGGTTTTAATTCTCTGCCTTTCTCCTAATTCACACATCTGTGAATCACTTGGTAGAGTATTTGCCAAACATCCAGGTAAAAACAGGGTGCACCACCTCCCTGTGCTTCCTAGGATTGACTCTGGTGTTGACACAGTCCACTGGGAATTATTTGATGCCATACAATATGATGATATAACATCTGTCCCATTGCAATTTGTTCATGTTTAGCTATTAGCTATGGGTTGTTTTCTCTGCACATCAATTATTTAGAAGAAAACAGTAACATCATTTCTGGCTCTGAATTAACATCCTATTCTTGTCCTTCTTCTTAATAAGCTTGTCATCTTGGTCAAGACTCTAGTCCTTGAGTTAATTTCCAACCAGTATCTAAATCTCAGTGTGAGTAGTTTACTAAATACATAGGGATATCTGAGTCAAGGGGACATGCCAGCACTCATATTTATGGTTTAAATTATTTCCTCCAAATCAAAACTTTCTCTCATGAAAAAAGGGAGGCTTTTCAGACTGAAGAAGTTGTGAGCTTTCTCCCAAGGTTATACAATCACAAACACTTTCTGGGAAGGAGGAAAATCTTCAGTGGAGCTGCCTGCAAATTGTGAGGGAGCTCTAGGGAAGTAGCTTTTGTAAGATGTCATGCACACTTCGGTGATACACCTTTCTTGAGTTACCTATGCTCTTGGAACTAACCATAGTAAACTCACTGATTCACAAAGCCAGAATTAGCTCAAATAATTTTGTTGTTCTTGTTCTTGTGTTTTAATCTGTTGTTGGTACTTGATTTGGGATGAACAGATATTTATTTATATATGTCAGGAAAACTTACACAGCAACCTAACATACTGTAAGAGGCTAATGTATACTTAACATACTTCTTGATATTTTTCCTTTACCAAATCACCATTAAGATGATATATGCCATTGGCAAAATAAAAGTCTATGACAAACGAGAACATATTTGCATACAGATCATAATGGGTTAATGAAGCAAAGATTTCTTTGACAAACAGTACTTTAAAGATGTAAGAATCATGAATAATATGCAAAAGAAAAGAAAAGAAAAGCAAGCAAGCAAGCAAGCAAGAAAGAGGCAAGAAGAGATTTGAGAACTTAGGAAAAGAGATGCAACCTGACTTATAATCAGTGAGGTAGAAGCAGAAACTATCCTGTGGTATCATCCCTCTTAGCAGATAAACTTTAATGCTATGCTTTGAAAAAGTAATGTCTTTCACATATCCCTGGTTGGAATACAACATGACACAACAACTGTGAAAATCAACACCATTACATATAATAGCATTACTTATGCATTGTTTTCTTTTACCCATAAGTTTCTTCTCTAGCAATTTAGCCTAAATCAAGATAAGAGCTTCTGCAATAGACAACTATAATGCAATATGCTACAATACAAAGTTATGGAAAAAATTCAATTTTTAGAATCTGTTATTAGATGTCATCTGTGATATGAAAGTATGTTATCATGTGAAGGATGATAAGAAAAAGTCTTCATGTGTATTAATACAGTTACACATAATTATATGTACATATATGTATACATACATATATATGTATAGTAGATATTGTTTATGTTTGTAATTACATACCAAATGAATATAAAAATAATGGATAGGTACTCATTGGGGAAATGGTGTCTGTTTTCTTTGTATTTTTGGGAAATTTTCATAAACATTTCTTAAAAACACTTTTTCATTAAAAACTCTGGGAAAACATAGTCAACACATAGGTCATGAAAAGACACAATATTTGTAAATGTTTATAATGGATATGTAACCATTCTAATGAGTAAATAAAAGTTTATTAAACTCTTATTAACTTGATGTTGAAATTGAATGGTATAAATAATGCCACTGCAAACATCTTTATTCATAAAAGAAGAGACAAATATGTGTATATATTTTTGCTCATGCTTTTGTCTAAGACAAATATATTTGATACCTTATATTTTAATCTTACATGTCCCATGATCATAATAAACACATGCTAGAAACATAAAATAAAACATGGTGATACCATACAAGTAAGAGCACTAGATTTCATATTAAACTGTAGTTTTTAGGTTACTGTCTGTAGAGAAGTCTACAGGGCATTGCAGTGTTTAAAGAAAGAGAGGAAATCTATGCATAGCTAGTTAGATATATTATTCTTTAGTATTGAGAAAGAAAAATTAAGATGATAGCTTGGAGAAGAAAAAGAAAATTGTAAGGGAAGTATAATTACATGTGCCTTGAAAAAGCAGTGCCCTTCTGGGAAGTTTGTGCTATCTTGTCCCTGTAGCTGACATAAGCTGTGTGTTTGGTACATAAATATTAGGGGACAGCCTAATGTTTAAAGCAACCACTAGAACAGGTTTCCTACTAAGACACCCATGAATATGTGCATGGTTTTGCTATTAAGGATTTCTCAGCTTATAAATGCGAGATCAACCAGAGGAAATTCCAGGAAGAAAGATGCAGCGATCCATCTACACTGGGTAAACATTTTGCATAGTGTCTACATTATTGAAAAATAATCAAAACATAGACCCACTGTAGTAGCAGAAGAAGACAACATATTAGTGAGATGCTTCCCAAAACATAATTAAATTAACAATTCTGAAATTTTCCCAAAGTAGTTTTAAGAAGTTATGTCTTATAGTTAACATTTGAATTATAAGGGTAAATCCTTAAATAAATGAAATGCGTATAGGTGTTTTAAGGAGTTAACATGTCAGGATATTTTGCTTACTACTGTGCTAACCTCATGTAGTAACTTGTGCAGTTTGAACATGTTTCTAAAAATCTTTTGGTTTTATTTAGTTTATATAGAAAAAATCTGGACACTGAAAGGTTAAATGATGCGGTTGGTGTGGACCACTATCTTAGTATTTAATAAATCATGACATATCAAATATGCATTTTAAAACTTAAAAATTAATAAACATCAATGCATGATTTAGTGTGTACATACAATAAGATAAATACTTGTTTTATCTGATTTGCACATATAATTAATGACCAGTAAAGAAATGTTGCGTTATTTCCCCCCCCCCCCAGAATAGAATGACCTTTGGAGGAAGTAGGCAATAATGACTGTTGACTGTTTTCACTAATAGCTCCTGCTGCATATTCCCATGATTCTCCTGGAATTTATGCTTCTTTAATATGTGCACCATAATACGTATGAGAAATTTAGATTTATGAAAAAGATGTACCATCTAACACACTTCAATTGGGGGTGATATCAAACTCCACACACAATTGCACAATGCAGCAACATTACAATTTAATATGATTTTCCTCTTCTGGAATTTGAATATCAGGAATATTGGCAGGGTGGTCAAATTCCAATTCAGATATCTTAAATTAGGTACTGAAAACATAAAACATCTCCTTGAGTTCATTGTATTATTAATTCTAGATATACAAAAGAATCTAGATATAAAAAGGAATTTAGATATAAAAAAGTAAATAAAATGTATATTAAATTTGAAAGACCCTAAAGTTGATGCCAAAATGTACTACACTTGACTATATAAAAATGGGGGCTACTTCTTATTAAATACAATGACTCACAAACAGTTGTCATAAGAGGAGATTTACCATTCTTTTATTTTTCACCTGAAGAAAAAGATTTTCATTTGTCACAAAAACTGTTTAGTATAGACCTAATTTTTTCAAGGCGTGCAAGACAATGGGCTCAATGTAGAGCATTTTATAAATAAATCAACTAATTATTAATTTTACATCCTGGCCACAGTTTTCTCTCCCTTTTCTCCCAGTCCCTTCTCCTACCTCCCCACTCCCCCTTCCACTCCTCCTCCATTTCTGTTCCAAAAAGGGCAGGCCTCCCATGGATATGAATAAAATATGTCATATCAAATTGCAGTAAGACTAAGAACCTCCCCTTGTACTAAGGCTGAGCAAGGCAACCCAGCATGAGGAACAGGGTCCCAAATGTAGGCAAAAGAGCCAGCGTTAACTCCTGCTCCCACTGCTAGGAGTATTACAAGAAA